ACACCGCAAACGAGATACGTGGTTTGGTAGTTTCACCGTCGATATGTAACAAGGTGGAGAAATGGTGCTGAGTCCACACCATTTCGCAGGGAAAACAAAGCCAAGAAAGTCCAAAAATTATAATTAGAGACAAAATTAATTTTTTTTAAACTCTAATGCGTACCAGTACGAAACTGAGGGGGGAAAAGTGTTCAGCTCAGGCAGTTTGCATTGGAACATGAAGTTGGAGTCACGCCGAGAGATCTACACCGGTTTGGGCCTTTTCAGACCTCATCCGCAGATCACACTCGGCAGTGAACCCATCTTAACATGCCGCAAAATCCAAGACGGCCTTGGGATTCACTGGGTTCATGTTTAGTTATGTGGGTTCATTGGGTTCACTGCAGAGTGCGATCTGCTGATGAGGTCTGAAAAGGCCCAAACCGGTATAGATATCTCGGCGTGACTCCAACTTAATGTTCCAATGCAAGATGCCTGAGCTGAACACTCTCCCCCTCAGTTTCGTACTGGTGCGCATTAGAGTTCTAAAAATTTAATTTGGACTCTAATTATAAGTTTTGGAACCTCTAGGCTTTGCTTTCCCCACAAAATGGCGACTGAGCACATAGGGGAGAATTTCATGAGCGCCGCCGCCCGCGGCGCACTACGGTCCAAAACTCAAGGATAGGAAGAAATAAGTCGGATGATGACTGAAAGATCACGAAAGTTTCGTAATAGATGCTTTTGTGAGTTGCTAATTTCGAATTCGATGTCAAATTGCATTCATACATTTAACACCCTGATCTAATAATTGTAGGCAAGTTAATGGCAAGCTGCGGCGTGGCGTGCTGCCAGCTCGAGATGCACACTGACGCCTACAAACCTAAGGGGATACTTCAAGCATTGCGCAATGCGTGAAGTAGCCCTTTAGGTTTGTAGGCACCAGTGCGCGTTTCCCTCTGGCAGCACGCCGGCCGCGGCGCTCCCGACGCGAGCAAGAGGTGAACGATTGCGTTTTTTATTAATTCTTTTAATTTTCAACTTTCCAAATTACACATGTCGCATGAAGAGTGGTCGTGTGAAGTAATAAGTGAACTCTCAACGCTAGATGAATAAAGGCAGGTCGTTCGCTGCGGACGGTGCGGCGCAAGGCGGCTCATGAAATTCAATTCTGCCCTGTGCTCTGTCGGCGAAATGGTGTGGACCCAGCACCATTTCTCCACCTTGTTACACACTGGAAAAAAAAGAATCTTAAATTTGCCGCCAAGAAGTATTTCTTCTTAAATCAAGAATTTTGCTGGTTAATATAAGCTACTTTTTTGCTTAACCCAAGCATTATTTTTCTTGAATTAAGAAAAAGTCAGCTTAAAGCAAGATAAAGAGAATTCTTGGCGGCAAATTCAAGAATTATCATGCTTGATCCAAGCTACTTTTTTTTTCAGTGCATAAGGGCATGTATAGGTCGAAGGCCAATGGTCAAAACCGGCATTTAGCAAGAGTCTAGGCGTTTCGTCAAATGCCTAGGCATTAAATAAAACACCGGAAAATTTTACAAAATTCCAAGGCCCTATTAGGCTGATACGCTGATAGTCAAATTGAATTTGCGTAACGATTTATGTGTAAAAAATCCTGCCCCGATGAAACACCCATAACCTCAACCTCGTCTGCATTTTCTCCACGTGGAAAATGAAATCACACAAAACCCACATAATTGGAGATGCTGTTCCCGACGTTTGTTATGACAAGAAAAGCTGCAGACAAATAAATATCTTTTTAATTACGATTACGTAAGAATGGAACTTTTCATTCCATCTATAGTGATTCATTGTTGCCTGTTGAATGAGCCATGACCATGTGCGTCCTGTTTACATTTTTCTCATGTCGATCTTGGGCAAGTTGATGCAAGCAACACCGATGGAGCCAGATTCAGGTGCAGCCAGTGTGCCTCAGAACAGAACACTCGAGAAACTAGAGCAATTTCTTTTGGCAGACATTATCTTTTGACTATTTGTCTCGGCATTTAACTAAATACCTATTTTGACTATGGGCCTTCGACATTAGTACGCGAATGATACACAGATGTATAAAATTAGTTATAATTTTTACTCTGAATGCTACGGCACGGCACAGTATCACGCAAGTCGTCTATGGGGCTTTTCAAAGTCACAAGCCCTCCTCTAACTGCCTCAATTTCAGACTCCGTGATGCTTTTAAAAATATGATTACTGAAATATGATCGTTTGTGCAGAGTTCGGATTTTATAATGGTGCGGCCACTAAATGGAGGAAGTTACCGCTGAGATTGGCTCAGCAGGCACACTTCTAAAATTTTTCGGAATTTACGTCGTTGCGATACCAAATCGCGAATCGACTACGGGACCAGACATCGTGACTGAATGTTTCGAAGGAAATGCGTATAGCATAACGGATAAGAAAATCTAAAAGAAGTTTTTCAGTACTGATTAGATGCGTTTATATACAAACAATTTAAGTAACAAATTTATACACAAATGAAAAATAGAATGTAAAAAGAGCTATCCGACAAAAAACTACAGAAGCTGCTTGGTTTATGATTGCGAAAAAAGACATACGAGGAGAATTCGCTTTATGAAAGCATTATAACTTATATCGCTGGACATATGATGTCTATACGAACACAACTATCGTCACAAATGCTTGAAAATTCAGAAAATTAATTCCCTGACTGAAGAGATATAAAATGAAAAATATTCGATAAACGTGGTGAAACTTTTTTGCACACGCTCAATGTTTACCAACATTAAAATTATACGCCAAAAATGGAGTCAAATTATTTCTGACGAGAGAGTCTCGTCCAACGAAGCGGAACAGTATTTATGTGACCAAGGTGGATGCTTAGAAGTGGCACAAAGTATGCATTCATTGTATGGGTATTCATAAGGATATTTTTGTAATGACTTAATTTCAGAAACGACCAGTGAGCATGGAAGAGCTTCTGAGCTTGTACAACTTTATACATGTAGCAAACAAAAAATGGACGTAATTCTCCAAAACGGAACTGAGTGCATTATGGCATGAGCCCTGCTATGCATATATTCTTATGGGTTTCAGGCTCATGTCTTAGTGTATGTAGTTCCGTTTGGCAAAAATACAACCAAATATACCCTAATTTTAGTATTTTTACGGGGATGTGAGTAAAAATGCGGAGCATTTCTGGGGTAATAATTCCTGCGTAAGTTGTATTGTCTAATTGCAAAATAGGCACAGCAAATCAACGATGCAAAGTTCATAAGTTGATTCCACCCAGAGTTTTTCATTCATTAGGATAATTACGAAATTTCGAAGAGAGTACTTTCACATTGGTATTATATTGAGTTTTGCTTGGATTTAAGATTCCTCCGATTACTGCCTGTTTTACAATCCTGTTCTTCTTTTGGAACCTGCGTTTGTTGGGCAACAAATATTTTTTTTTTTTTTTTTAGCTTCGCCTGATCCTGAGATTGAGAAATATCCACATGAACGACCGGTTATTTTAAGCTACTCGATCCCTCTTGGGAAAACGGCGATGACGTCTTTGTACGGATTTGGAACGTTCATTTCATCCCCGGCTTTTATTGGTACAAATAAAACTGCTAATCTCTGTGACCCCTTCGGGCCACTTTCCGACTCCTCTTGTAATTCCACAATTCAAGAAGAGCATCTTTCCTTGAAGGTCACTCCGGTTATCTCTTGGATGAGCAAATCATTTTGAACTATAGTTTTGTGTATTTTGCACTTCATCGACGTTCCGTCCCTCTTTTTAACCGATTGTAAACAACTGTGCAACAAGAGAAATTTGGGAAAGAGTTTAGCTAAACATTTATTAAATCCTAGGGGCCTAGACCCCCGGACCACCTCAAGG